AAGAGAATAAATTATGCCAATATAAAGCACCAGTTACACTGATAAAACTGTGTGCACTCTAGGAGCTGTTCCCATATAACTATTACAGTAAAAAAAGCATCCCCCTATCCAAAATGGCCAACTGGATCTTAGAAATCCCAAATGGGAATCTTGCTAAGGCCTGACCTTTCTTGCATTTAAGTCATTGAGAGTTTGGTCAGTCACATTAATGGACCCAGTTTGCAATATATAGCATAGAGACAAAGACTGTCCCTGTTATTTAGATTGTTAGTGAATCTGGTTCTTCAGATTTGTCCCTTTTAGAGAGAGGTCTTATGTTTTGCCTGTTTCTGATACTAAAGAGTAAAATAGGTCACAACAGGTTCTGGTGGCTTCCTCTTCAGCAATAATTCACAAAGAGGAGACAGACATAATTTGCTTAAAATAATATAGATGAAGCAGGTATTTGAGCAATATATGTTTTGTAACATTGACAAAACACTTGGTAGCTATTTTTCTGTATTTCTGAACTCTAACTCTCATCCCAGTGAACTGCATTGTGAGAAGCACTTAGCATTCAAGTGTCAGTTTCTGTCTTCAAGGGGCTTAGGAGAAGTTCTAATCTAAAAAGACTCTGCGGCTATCCCATGTGGTATGGTGCAGTGGTGACAATAGGAATGCACAGCAGAGCAAGTGCATCTGGCATTTTCGGCCCTGATTAAGTATGGGCATAGTTTAAGTGCATGCATATAATTATACTTAACAATTGCTTGGGTTCCTAATTTGGAAAATATTCCTTTTGGTTGAAATTTTTTTTTTACATTTCTCTAAATTAAAAATAAGGAGCCCTGAACTTCAAGTCATCATAACTGGGGGCCTGACTCTGTATTCCTTACTCAGATAAAAGTCACATTGTCTTTATTTAGGACTAGATAATGGTGCTGAAAGGTACAATACCTTTTCTGCTTCTCATTTGCTCTTGGGGATAGTAATTTGCATCTGAGGTAAACCAACAGCAAATTACAATACCTTCCAGAGCAGTTCAGTTGTGTTGGGTAGGAAACAGAACTGAAAATTTAAAAACAAATATTGTGGGTTTTATATAATGAGTATTCAGTAGGAAAATATAATAAATCTAGTCCAGAAACTTACTCTTTTTGGCTTCTTCGAGTTTGTCTTTGGCACGTTTTTCTGCCTGTAAAAGCTGCTGGATTCCCTGAGACTGGCTGGTCATGTTGATTTTTGGGTTCGATGTGCCTTTGTATTAACTGGTAACGCAAGGGAATTATATACCATCGCTTACCTCTTCATTGTGCATTTTGTTGTGTCAACATTCAGTACCAGACCCACCTAATTTGCACCAATCCAGCCTGCTTTAGCCAGATTATTGTTGCTGAAGAAAAACAAAGAAGGGAACCTGGTAAACCACACTAAGTTTTTTTAAAGAGAGATTTTCTCCTTCTCTAGGTCATGCAGTACCTACAATGACTTGATTAAAGCACTGTGAAAGGAAGAGAATGACTCTCTTCCAAACAATCTTATGGCATTTATTTAAGCAGAAATCAGTGACTGAGATCAAGAGCAAAAAGATTTTGATTTACTGCAGTTTTGTTTTAATAGCAGTTTCCATGGGTTCCATGTCAGAATAATAAGGCCAACAAAGTAGACCTGGGCCAATAATAGAACTGGGCTTGTCCCTCTTTTTGTGTTTGTTTCCCCTGGAAATTTGAGTTATTTTAAAAATTAATTTCAAAGTTCCAAGGACAAGAACTTGTGGAAATTACAGTTTAAAGAAGCCTGTGTAACCCACTGTTCAGTGAACACCTTGCTGTACCCCCAGTTATGCTTGGCCAACCTTTTTCGGTCCCCATACGTCGCTGGCTTTTAGTAAACCTTCCTGTACCCCCTATTCAATATGAAAGGAAATAAATTCTAGACTCTAGAATCCACAACTTTTTTCACTAACACTACTACTTTTGGAATATTTCAATTAGGATAATCTAGTTATTGACCAAATATTCCCCGTACCCTCTTGACAAGCTTCTTGTACCCATACCCCAGGTTGGGAACCCCTGGTCTAGAGCATTATTTCCCAATTTTATTGGTCACAGAACCCTTTTAAACTTGAAAGAATTTTGTGGAACTCTTAATAACAGTCTAATACTGCATATGGAGCTGAAAAAGTAGACCACAAATAAGTAAGGATAATAATAAACAAATGCTAAACAAGGTCTACATTTAGTTTTATTGCACATATTTAAAAACAAAAATAATGTAATATTAATTATTATTTTTTTAAATCATAAAATGTTGTTGTAATGGAAGTTTCTCGCTGAACCCTTATTTTCACTTCATGGAACCCCAGGGTTTCATGGAACACCATTTGGGGAACACTGGTCTAGAGAATGAAACGGCTAGAACAACCACTGTAGAGATTTAGTGCCGTTGCTTGAGCTAGAGGCTTATGCTAATAAATTTGGGTCCTGGGTTTGATTCCAGTTAACAAGCAAAGTGAAACTCAAGCCGGTGAGTGCCAATAGTGCATGCACACTCCTCTGTTAAGATCATGCACCATTGTTTTTGTTCCTCGTCTCACAAATCACAAGCAAACAACTCAGCTCAAATTTGGAATATTTACAGACAAGCACTGTAAAGCATTCGGAAAGATATTTGAGTAACACACACTTCTATGCTCCCTCCATTCGACTGTGTGAGGGCTAGTGATCATTTGACATTGTGAGTCAGTTGGTTTATTTAGCTGAATTAATGTCCATGATTCTTTCTGCTGTTGGCTCTTGCTCCAAGGCCCTTTCTTCTCTGGAGCTCCCTAGGGCAGCTGCTCTGTACTGGTTGCATGCTGCAAGGTTGTTATCTGGCCCTTGTGAGAAACAGACTATTGTTGCTATGAAGCGTTCTTTTCCAAATGGCTGCATGCTTGAGGGAGAATGGAAAGAGAGAAACCTCTTGTCCTATTTCTCTCTTCAACTGGGCTCCAAATGGCAGGAGCCCCAGGGAGAGTGAAAAGGAGGCTGTTTCCTATTGTCACTGCAATAGTGTAGAGTGGAACTGCACTCTGAATCTTACCCAGGGGAAGTACATATTGCTTCTCCCTCCCCCCGATAGCATGTGCCCATCTCAGTTGTTGAAATCACAAGCCTGTTCTAGCTGTTCGGGACAACACTTATCAGACTCTTTGTAGAGGATTTAGCTGCATATTTTTAAAGTATGCTGTATGTTGTTCAGTTTAAAAAAAATTAAATTGAAGAACAACTGGTCACAGGGGAAACACATTTGAGGTTCACACAGAGTATGCTGTTCCACTAGCAATGCCCCAAATGTTTTTACCTGAGAGAAAAGCAGAAGGTAAAAATGCATTAGTCTCTGCTGAATCTGTTTTTAAAAATGGAAACTTGTTCAATTAGACAGGAAGAGGGAGTGTTGTCAAGTTGCTCTCTTAAGTCCAAGGTAAATCCCAGGCAAATGATTTTGCATGAACAAATGGCTATACTTGTAAGAAATGATTCAAAACTGCTACAAGACTGAGATACCGTATGGTGCGATGGGTAGAACCCTGCACGAATACAACATTTTTATCTGCCTTTGTATCTGCAAATATGAGCCACGGATATCCACAGCCACATCCCTCTCTCTTGGTCCCCTGGACTTACTGTAGTGATGCTTGGCTCTCCCTGGTGACCAGGAAGGTAACTGGATCCAATTCTAGTTGCAGTTCAGGTGCACTTTGTCTGGGCCAGTTAAGAGGGTGGGCTGCCTGTGGAGGGCTGTGGGAGACTTGGGGAGAAAGAGACCCAGTGGCCGAGCAGATGGGTTCAGTCAGGAAGGGCAGCAGATGGAAGCTCCCAGAGGGAGAAAGTAGTTCTTGGGAGAGGACTGAAGGCAAGAGAGCAGCAAGAGAGGTTTGTTGGTTGGCATCTCCAAGCTAGAGAGCCAGAGCTGAAGGCAGCAGTGACTGTGGCAGGAGATACATTTTATCTCTAAGCCATCAAAGCAGAGCCTAGGGCCAGAGAGGGCTGAAGGGGGCATGCTGAGCAGTAGGACTTACCCGTTGATGTCTCCTTACCAGAGAGCTGGGTACCAGAGACCCATAAGAGGTCAGGGCTAGCTTCCTTGGCAAGCAAGCTAGAGAGCCAGAGCTGAAGGCAGCAGTGACTGTGGCAGGAGATACATTTTATCTCTAAGCCATCAAAGCAGAGCCTAGGGCCAGAGAGGGCTGAAGGGGGCATGCTGAGCAGTAGGACTTACCCGTTGATGTCTCCTTACCAGAGAGCTGGGTACCAGAGACCCATAAGAGGTCAGGGCTAGCTTCCTTGGCAAGGATA